AAGGGGGGGGGGGGGGGTTTGTCAAGCCGAGTCTCACGTGAGCTTTCCGCTGTAAGAAATCAACCCTAAAAGTCTCCAATTTTAGTTTTTAATAACTGGCAAACGCCCTAACGATTAAATTTAAATTATTATTGTTTCTTTCTGTTGCCGATTTTCATCAGGGCAATTCTGCTGTGCTAGGGAAAAACGCCGTATGAGCATTCGAGAGTTGCCAAATTTCCTTCACGAAAATCTTCATTTTTGAGGGAATTTAGGAATATTTCCCCCTTGAATTTTTAGGAACTTCGGGTAAAATTGAGATCAAAATCATCTGAAAAATTGGAAGAAAGATATTCATAATTTTACGGAGAATATCGCGCTTCATCAAAGGAAATTTGGCAACGTCTGAAGTTTCATACGGAGTTTTTCCTTGGCACGGCAGAATTTGTCACCTTCCGGCCAGGGTACCAAACCGCCATGCGACGTTTCAAAATTTTCGCCGCGATTTTATTTTTTTACTAAGAAATTGTTGGTCGAATCTGGTCGAAAATTTCACCGAATTTTATCGGCAGCACAAAGAAAATTCAGTGACATTTTCGGTCGGCTTCGTTGAAAAATTTCCCTGTGGAAGAATAAAATGACAGCGGAAATTTTGGAACGTCGCATGACGCTTATGATACTGTCGCCGGAAGGTGACGAATTAATGTCAATTCTAATCCAACTACAAATAGCTACAGGATGCTTATTGATCTACCGGATCTTTTTAAATCTATAAATCTTATCCATCTATCGTTTTAGGAAATAGAAGGCTTATTGTCATTCAAAAAGTACGAAATGGGAGTTGAAAACACGTGCACCAAAAAATTTACAGGTGACCTGTGACGAGTGTTCTGTCTGTTCAATATGAAAACATTTTGGTGTGTCTATTTTGATCAAGATATGTGAGCTCTTTTATTCGATATACTATGTGTACGTTATCATAGTTGATAACCGGACAAGGTACGAATTTAAGCGTTTTGATGAAATATTTTTCCAGCCTCGTACGTGGAACACGATTTGCACAACCGAAATGACTAAAATTGACATTTTTCTTTGAAATCTTCAGATACTTTAGATTAAATGGCGTACAAATTAGTCTGAAAATTTTGGAAAAAAATATTCACAATTTTCCTAGTGAATTCGGTTTTTATCGAAGGAAACTTGGCAACTTCTGAAGGCTCATACGGCGTTCTTCCTTAGCATGGCAGGGTAGTATACGAGGTTGTCATGCGGGTTCCCCACCCGGGCACTCGTGCGCAATATTGCGCAGTTAGGTGTCTCTTAGTTTGACGTCGTATGCCACATGAGCACTTAAATCTAAATTCCTCTCCGCATTTTACTGTGCGTCACTGTTTAAAATGAAAAACCCTATGAATACTGCAGGGCTATACTGCCGTGCCGAGGAAAAACGCCGTATGAACCTTTAGGCGTTGCCAAATTTCCTTCGGTAAATCACACATTTCAGGGAAAATTTTTGTTTATTTTTCCTCCAATGTTTTGGATATTATGTTCGCAATTTCACCTAAAGTTCCTGAAAATTTCAATGAAAAATATGCATAGCTTTCCTTAAAAATTAAAATTTTATCGAAGGAAATTTGACAACTCTTGAATGTTCACACGGCATTCTTCCTTGGCACGGCAGTATAGGGAAACACGCTTTCACTGACAATGAGGGAAAATTTGCTACGGATACTGAATTTCAATTCAAATCGTACACTGAACATTCTCGGTTCAGATTTCAGTAAGCTGAACCGAAAAAGTTTGACGTTCGATACGAACCGAAATTGTTATCTATATGAAAAGTTCGGCCACACGTACTACACTACCGTTCACATTGAACACGGAGCATTCTCGGTTCAAGTGACCGAAGTTTTTGATCACAGGCACCGAATTTCAGTTATGAGCCTAAGCACCAGTGACATGGCGTGCTTTGCGATATATCGATTTATCTGCCATTCGCCACTCTGCCATTCTGCTTTTCACGCCTCGCCACTGTTCCGGTAACCTAAACCGAAAATATAACTTTGGTGTTTAGTCGCGAATTTTTTTTAGTGTACCATA